AACAATCAGTTTCCTAACCTAGGCTATATGGCTTAGCCGATAATTCAACCTCTGACACGTATCTTTCCTGAGGCGCTGTTCAACTGGTTCGGAGCACGACATTTTCATTCCTAAAATACAAGCGCGATTCCCAAAGTGTGGTGTGCGACAAGGTGCACCTCTCTTTAAACAAAGCCTCGCTGTTTGAATCTTACTGCTGCTTTAAGTGCAAATAGTAAGGTTAAAATATCTTAATCAGGCTAAATGAAAAATGGCCGAATGCACTCAAACTAAGAAAATTACGACATAAATCAAGCCTCTATTAGCTGAAATTTGACATTTGCAATTATTTGTTTATTCTTGTTTTTAGGGCTGAACCGATCAAATATAATACAATGGAAATAAACATTCTACTTTCCACAAAAGTTAACTTCATATTAAATACATGCTTCATAGACCATTTCCATCGGTCTATGGTAGAGAAACAGTGCACGCACAGAAACACCAGTAGCAGGGGGATAAAATTAATGCATACGTCAATCTAATTTATGGCCATTTATTTATTACTCCCAGGGGGATATACGTAAATGCAATAATATTCCCAGCTCCTAGAAATGTATTTTTGTCCTCCCACTCCTAAGCCCAGTGCATATTTCACACATTGCTTTGAGCAGACAAAGTGGAGTAATTGAATGAGTAGTTTCACAGATGCTTCCTGTTACAACTTGACAAGTGTGTTCCGCTCTGAGACGCCGTAACAAGATACGCTCATGAAAAGCCAAAACAACATAAAAAACACAAGGAAGTTGGCTGGTTCCTGAGAAAGAGGAGAACTTTGACACTTCTGCTGATACAGCTGGAAAGAGACGCTGTCATAGGGATTTTTCATCCATAGTTGTTGTCATGCAGAATGTACCATTTCCCACATGCCTTGTAACAGGCAATTGAAACTGTACTGAAATTTCTATTAGAACAAACATCCACAATAAGTGGCAGTAGTTATTTGTCTGGTGAATAACCACTCCCTTTATACCAACACAAAATCACATCCAAAAAGCTGTGAAAGATCTTCCTCACAGGAAACTAGGGCTTAATCTAAAAGAGTTTTGATAAATAGTTTAGATCACAAACTGTCTGATTTTCCATTTTTACAATTGACCAAAACAAAGCTAAAGATGCCCCTGGTTTAGGGATCCAACAATACCACTTCTTTTTTTTTAAACCGATACGAGTATTTTAGTTTGAGCAATTGCCAGTACCGTATACCTATACGGTACTGGCAATTGCTAGTACCGTACCGTATACCACAAGTCCTGCCTTGTGTTATCCCTGGGAATTCATGAAACAAAACTAACTAAAAAGAAAAAGCTTGAACAATTAAACTTTTTAGCATTTTTTAAATAGTCAATAATGAGAACCACTGCCATACTCCACAAATTCCACAAAAAGCTCCGGTGCTCCTCTACGTGGTGGCGAGTTTTCAGGTGTTAAATCTTTGGACCCACCTTGTGACAGTTTTGCCTTACACAACGTACAGTCCGCTTTACTCGTCACTCTCGTTTACTTTTAAAAACTGCCATAACTACAAGGCTATGGTATAAACCAGCGTTGTTGCATCCCTACCCTGGATCTTCACAAAGCTGACTCGCTACACATCAGGTTGTTTGATTAAAAATACGGTGTAAAACACATTATAATTCTGCAGTCAAAATAGAAGAATCTTCTTGGCGTAAGTCTATAAGGACTTAAATGCTTTTATTATGCACAAACTCTGGATGCACAGACACACTGATAACTGTAGACTTCAATATTGAAGATTCCAATCGAATGTAGAATTATGACAGCAAGTGGGGAGACACCAGGTCATCCCTCATTGGTTGAGTAACAAACCAGCCCATCTCTTAGAGCCTTACAGTCTATATTCCGACATGGACTTTGGCCACTAACTTTATAAACCAGAGCAAAAGGATTATTTTGAAAATGTTATCATAAAATCTGCTTATATAATTATGTTTAGGCCTATAAAAATGATCAAAGATACAGTGGTTTAATATTAACACAATAGAAAACATGTTAAATATATATTTTTGTTCATTTTACACGCAAACTACAAATCACAAGGTCTAATCTAAGTCAGGCGCCATCACGATGCCACTTCCTCTTTAACCAGTCAGATGATCAAATGACAAAGCACATGCAGTGGGGCAAAAAAGCCACCGATTGTGCAAGTTCTCCCACTTAAAATAATGACAGAGGTCTGTAATTTTCATCATAGGTACACTTCAACTGTGAGAGACAGAATGTGAAAAAAAAAAAAAAAAATCCAGGAATTCACATTGTAGGATTTTTAAAGAATTTATTTGTAAATTATGGTGGAAAATAAGTATTTGGTCAATAACAAAAATTCAACTCTATACTTTGTAATAGAGGTGCAACGGTTCATCAATGATCCATGATCCGTTCGGGTTCAACATCTTCGGTTCGGCACAGACGTGATCCGCGGTTTGATTTATGAAAAAATAAGTTGTGCGCACGTTGTTCAGTCCACTCACAGCGTGGTCACGGCGAGCAGAGGAACGGAGATGCTTGAAAGCCCCGCGTCATTTAAATCCCCAGTATGAGAGCATTTTGGCTTCACTGTAACTATACTGATAATTAATATTTGACAAAACTGTCACATTGTGTAAATACTGTGGCAAAAGAAAGACATGAGTGAAAAAAAGCGTCTCAACAACCGCTTATTGCCGCGGCGTTTAAGCAGCTCCTTTACGCACAGTCAGACCGGGCTAAAGTCAACTCTCCCGCGCATTCTCAGCTGCGCTCAGGACTGACGCTTGGACGTCCCGCAGAATCTATAATAGATCCATGAGCGGAACGGAGAACTTCATCACGGCAGACTGGGAGATGAGAAGTCTGGCGCTGCAGACACACCCCCTCTACGAAAGGCACACAGCACAGGTTCTGACACAAGCAGCGGAGGAATGGAAGGAACCCAGTACTAATATTCCAGTCACAACTGATAATGCCAAAAATTAAATAAATGCAGTGAATGAGGCTGGACTGGGCCCAGAATGGACCGCCTCCTCGGGAGAATCAGGAAGGTGGTTTAATATATGAGGGTAAATATCCTCATAAAGTGCCTCCTGTAGTAGTAGTACGGTATATTAAAATGCTTTTCGGGCTCAGCCCCTGATCTCAGCATACCCTAAAACGCCCCTGTCTCAAATGGGAGCAGAGCAGTCTAATGAAAGTAAGACATCAACTGTAAAGCTGTGGGAAAATGACATTGACAAATTAAATCAAGTTATTTCTTGTGTCCCAGATTTTAGAATATCACTGCCTGAAGAGGAGCACCATATTTCACGTTCATAAAGTTTAGATGTACCGTCACAAGATTTATAGATCAGAGAAATTATGTATAACGTGAAGTAGAACTACTTCAACATCTCCAGGATAGCCTGGTCGTACCACACCATAGTACAAATTACATTTTGTACTACGGTCTGGAGGTACTCCATTGAGCTCCATGTACAGGTGGGAGGGGTTAACTCCTTTTGCAGATTGAAACGATTGGATCTGAGTTTACCATGACGTATGTAGCGCGCCCGAGTCTGTTGTTAGCATTTAGCCTAGCTTTAGCATTTAGCCTAGCCATCTCCTATGCCGCTAACAAAGCCCGTGTGGAGTAGCGCCACAATTTTTTTTCCTGCAATTACATTTGCTAAACATTCCTCTTGCTATGGCTTCAATTTCTTGAAAGAACCAGACCGGATTACTTTACTATCGCATTCTTCGCCATCACCAAACTACAACCTGCCCATTCAACGCAAACTCTTGACATCACCCACAACTAACTATAACACCCGCCTCCCGCGCTCTCTGAATGGTCGGTCGAAATTCAACCGATTGTAATCGCTAACATAGGGACTAGACCCAGACGTTACATGCAGTGAAATGATGATTGAGCTGAGTGTACGGATGGCTAAGGCCATGCTATCTCCAGGATAGTGATACTGAATTTCTGACATTTTAGAAACAAGTTTCTTCAGTCTGATTTTGCTTCCACTGATGGGTATCTGTTCTGATACAAGTATCGATCAGTGTCAATTTCCACTATAAATAGAGAATGCTTCACTTTCCTTTAGTGAGGCAATACAGACTTTGACAGCTTGAGAATAGTAAAATACAATGTTGTTGAAGAAAAATGGCAAAGTTAACATGTTGACCCATGTGACTGATTTAAAAAGGTTGCATTATCATTACTTATTCGTGTATTATGCACAATGCAGAATACATAATACAGTAAAACCTTATCAAATATGTTTGGGAATTTTGGATTGCAAAAAAAATAATCAATATAGGATTAATTTAATTTCAAAAGTCATCACTTGTTTTTTGTCATCTCATTTGCAGGTGATTTTCAGGCCGTGTACCCTGATAACAGCCTTAGAACTGTGCACAAAAGGGATTTACTATGAAATTAAGGGCAGAACCTTTTTAGCAAGATTACAAATATTGTGTAAATATTTATACAATCTAATACTCTAGAAGATAATTGTGTAAAATGTCTGACCCTGAATATGCATGGACCCACTATGATTATTAAAACATAATTCTTCATGTTTTTATGGTTATAGTACCTCTCCTCACTAAAGCAAGTACAGGTGCCCTGGGCCCTATGTTATGAAGTATCAGGTGCCAGTATTTGTCACAATTAGCTCTGAACCCAAATAATCATTCTTGTAGATCCATGAATGTGACTAACATGGCCTACTGCAATTGGCAAATAAATGAATCTGAATTTTCCATACTTTTAGGAAAGAACCACCCTCTCCACTTTTCGCACAAAACTCTCTGGTCGTATGATAGACAATTAGGAGAACCAATAGTCTTGATGATCCACCCGGAAGTAAAAAAATCCTTCTATATACCTTTAAGTGAAAAAACTCCATTGCGTTATCATCCTAGAAATGTTAGAAATCTCAAAATGTCCTTGATTTTACAACCCTAGAACCCCTTACCTTCAGCTACCAGCTCTTCCACCGTGACCTGGTAGCGGCCCACGGCGAACACTTTCCCCACATAGGTGCAGCTGGTCCCGGACCCGGATGACGAAGAGACCCCCAGACCTCCACTCTCCGACCGGGGCATGCGGGAAAACTTCTTCATCCCGTCTCGTCTTCTTTATCACCTATCCCAAACAAGAAACCAGTCCAAATGTAACTTCTTCTATCTACTTATGAGATGTTTTGTCCTTTTCTGCATGCTCCAAGCTTCATAGATATTAGTAAGAGTGAATTTTCCAATGCAAAAATCAACCAATACCATCAAAACAAGGGTTGAAATCGCCGATCTTTGCTAACGTGTCTAGCCTACCAGCGTGCGTCTAAGGGTTTCTTCCCCACAAGCAGCTTCAGATAAAAATATAAAAAGGTGAAAAAGGAGCGAGCTAAGTGTTTGCTGGTTGAGTATATCCAGTTTCTGTGAGGTCCACACGCTGTACAGGTCTGACTTGTGGGTCCACTCCTCCCAGGGCGAAGCTAACAAATGCTAATCAGAGGCTAACGACACTCGTGCAGCGGCCAACGCGAATGTGGTTATTAAAAGTCTTACATCAGCGTGAATTCGTCCTTCGTCATTTAAAAATCCCACGCTGAGATTTAGCGCAAATGTGGGCGCATTTTGGGCAAAGTTTGTGGAGAATCTTTCCCACTGAAGCTCTGAAGAGGAGGAGAGGAAAAGGGGATGGTTACAGGCCAGGCATTTGGGCCGGGGCGGGGCTACATGACGTCACTCAATTAGGAGGAAAACAAAACTATGGTCTCATCTAAATGATAAATATAATACACGTCTGCTTAGCTGTTTAGGCACCTCCACAGTAAAAACTCTGATCACATCAGAGTTCTGCTCCCTGCTGTTTACCCCCAAATTATGGAATCTCTGTAAGTCAGGCCTTTATAATGTACATAGCTGTAAAGGTATTTTTTTCTATATGCAATATACTGTATGTATTGTATATGTTTAACATATGGGCCGCATTATATTGTGTCCTTAATTAAGATTTGTGATAATATCATAGAAAACCCTTGCCCTACAGGTGGGAGACTGTAAGAGCACTCAAACATAGATGAATAAACAACATAAAGAAAATAAAGAAACCAGTGTTAATAGTAGGAAAACAAATATCATAAAATAAAGACTACTGAAAAGCATGAATTATAGTTAGAACCAGGGCCAAACAGGTGCTAAAAGTACCTGGTACAGGCTAGGGCAGCCATTCCCAAACTCAGTAACACCGAGGCCCCCTTAAAAATCTGACGGGTCTGCGTGGCCCCCCCAAAATAATAACCAAGAAGACAACATTAAGAATAGGCTCTTCTGGTTATTTTATTTTGGGGAAATAGCCTCTGCTACAAACATTGTAATACAAAAATGATTACAGTGGATTATTCAAGTCAAATAATGAACACAAATATTTTAATATTACAAACAAAACATTATAAATTTAACATTAAATAATTATATTATTTTTTTATGACCTCCCGCGGCCCCCCTGCAGTACCCTCGCGGCCCACCAGGGGGCCGCGGACCCCACTTTGGGAGACACTGGGCTAGGGCAACTGGAAACACTCCCAATTGGGGTAAAGTTGAGTAGAGTAGGGCCAAGTAGGGAAACAAGGCTCAAGTTGCTACCATAAAAAATATGAACAGCATGCCCATTGTCGTACCATACCTAATACATTCATGTACCAGCAGTTAGCGCTTGTATAAAGTTGACCTCTGACAAAGGCAGAAGTCTACTTTCAGTCTTAACAACCTTTTGTTGTTTAAAGAAAAAGAAGAAGTATAACCAGTGATGACATTAGATATAAGATATGACCTTTATGCACTGACAGTATTAGGCTATAGGCAAGCCAAGTTTATTTGTATAGCACAATTCATACACAAGGCAACTCAAAGTGCTGAACAAAACAAGAAAGCATTAAAATCATAAATAATCACAGAACATTAAAAAGAAAGATAAAAATATAAAATCCCTCAGTTGTATGCACAGCTAAACAGAACCGTTTTTAACCTGGTTTTAAACATTGTCAGAGAGGAGGCCTGTCTCACATCTTCAGGAAGATTGTTCCAGATTTCCAGGCTATAGACAGAATAACATTTGTTCTTACTGTGAGTGGGCTTATACAACTCGACAACTTACAATGACTGTGTTGGCAGTTTGAAAGTGATGTTGATGTGGCAGCAATGTCATTAAAAAAAACTAAAACATGCATTTTTATGGCGAACACAAGAGTGAACAATACAATATGTTTCTTATAATATTGTTATTGTGGCTAAGGACATAAAATATGTATGTTTTTGTCATTATACACGATACATATGGCACACACGTTGCATAGTACGACTAATTAAAAAAGATGACTGTATATTTTGTGAGCTGAAAATAAAGAATATATGCGTAAAGGGCAACATACAATATTCATTATGATTTCAACTTAATCTAGACCTCATCTTAAATGTTTTTGATTGTGATTTGATCGAAAACCAAAGATTTTTGACCCATTTATTTGAAGAAAGATGCTTATGCAAACCTCTTGTATTATACTTTAATTTCAAACAACCACATTATAATAAACCAAAAAGAGGATGATAGGGAAAGTCCTCACTAAGCCACACCCACCGGTCGAAATGCTTAGAATGTGGTGTGACTCCTAGGACGTGGGAGAGGTGCTTGTTTGTTATTTATCCAATGAGGGACAACCTAACCTGGTGTCTCCCCGCCTGCTGTCGGAATCCTGCATTCTAATTGGAGCCTTCAATATTGAGGAAGTCAATAGCTATCTGTAGGTCTGTGCATATCAAAAATATAAGCAAAATCTATGCACATAATGGGCAGATATAGAACAAAATTGGCCCGTAAAATGTATAAGTAAACTTTGTATAAACTATGCATGTAAAAAAGGTGAGAATCAAGGGTTTTGGAATAATGGAAAATCTTTGAAATGGGAAAAGTATGACTGTATTGTTTAACAAAATGATGAAACCCATGCTAAACTTGAAACACAAGAAAAGCCTCTATTCTTTCTCTCAATGTATGGCAACTTTGTAAAAACATAAAATAACCTCAAACAAAAACAGGTAAGCTGAACAAAAACATTTAAGTATTATTGTAATATTATTGAAACAAAAGTAGGAGTCTAACCGGCTGCCCCGACAAAATCATTCATAGTGAATGGACTGAAGGAGAAGTCCTTCAGGATTAAATGCAGTAGAAAATAACAGTGAACATCCAAGGCCAGTAGGATGAGATAATCTTTTTATGATAAACTCATGTGAGATAGCATGAGATTGTGTGATATGGTGGAGACCGTGAATATGGTACAGATGATGATGAGGTTAGAGGGTCTAAGGACAGTGATCATCCAGGATAGACATGGCTCATCCTGCTACCCTCTAGCCCAATGGCTCCCATGGTCATTTTGAAAAGTCCTCCCCACAGACTATATGTTGAAGCACTTTGCTGACACTGATCAGACTGTAAGAAGTTAGTGAAGGCCAAGAAAGAGACACCAAGTGAAGCCAGATGACCATAAGACCGGATATAATGGGTTTTGTCTGGACAATCTAATTCCCGTTCATTATTCCTTAATGAACTTCCCTGTTGTTCTAAAGCACAGGAAATAGCCTGCACTTCCTTATGACAGGACCAACTACCGTAAAGGGAAAAGCATACAATTCACTCCAGAAAAATTGTGAGGTTTGTTGTGGAGATAGTTTACTGCTGGAGTATTAACTTGTACAGACAAATGGACTTCATACGGATTTTAACGTTTTTTCCATTACTTTTCCAAAACCACTTTCCAAACTTTTACTAGACCTGG